TTAGTATTAGGCGGGGAGCATAGACTTTTGCATAGGCGCATAACCATAAGTATAAAGAAATTGATTGGTCCATTTCCTTATATATATATGCTTACGGATTAATCAATTTCCTTATGTTTATAGTTATGCGCTTATGCAAAAGTCTGTGCTCCCACCTTAACTTTATACAATAAATTAATAACTCGATTATTTTGTTAATTGGATTTATTTAAAAATATTACTAAAAATTTATTTTATAATAAGATGTTGTTACTGATGTAAATAATTTATTGATTTAAACTGCAGTAAAACCATGATATGGACATCTATGTCCATACATTGTAAAACGCTGGTTCAAGAAAGTATTGCTGTTCGTCGATAAAATAGAAATGTTTACCATCATTTGTAGTACAAGAACAATGGTTGGATTACATTCATATGCTATTAACTGTTAGTATCTACATTGTTATCTTAGAAATTCTTTATTTTTATTTATCTAAGAAAATACTTTATGATAGTATTTAAAAATAATATATATATCAAGTTACAATTTTAAAACATGAAAAAAGCTGTGTGTTTAATTATTAATAAATATCTTTTAATATATATTGAATATATATAGAAAAAATATATGCATTAACAAAATTTTATTAAATCTTTCAAATTTTTATATAAATTTTCTTTTTCTCTCATCAATATGAGTCAGCTAAATCAGCTGATAATAAATCATTTAAAACAATTCTAGGAAACTTTTAGAACATTTTTTTTCAATAAAAATAATTATAAAACTTTAAAATAAGATGTGGGTTGTAAAAGTAGATTTGTTGAGAATTTTCAGCAAAGCTTGAAATAAATTGATACCCTGACGCCCAGAATTTGCCGAAATACGGCCATAGATACCTAAAGAAATAAATTATTAAATAGGGGACTTGTGAAAATTGCGAGCGTTCTTTAGGTCGATATTTTGCACGGAGGGCAAAAGGATTCTGAACAAAGGGAAGATGTCAAAGCTGATCAGCGTCACTTGGCATGTGAATCGATACATTCGAGGACGCCGACGACACGATCTATTCCAACTAACTTCCGTCACTCGGAAAATTTTCCAATTCTCGAATTTTACGAAGAAATTAACGATGAATCGACGCTGCCCGTCTCGCTGGCAGACTTTTCGATGTGGCGGCCGCCGTTTTATTTATAGCAGAGGAGGTCGCGGTGCGTTCCAAAAGCTCCTCGACTCACCAGTATCACCAGCACATTCACACCGAACTCGTCTCGCACCGGATCCTAGAAATCCTCATTCATCGATTCATCGATAGGATCTGTAACTTGAAAGAAAAACTTTTGTTGAAAATAGCGAACCGATTCTCCATCGATGCGATAATTTGAGTTAGCTGTCTCGCGATCAGGATTCTAGAGTCCTCTGGGAAACAAACACGTGACTTTTGTATCGCCACTTGATAGCAAAGTGATCGATTTGGTGTTAATATAGTGAAGTTTTTACGGTTTATTGATAGGAAGATTAATTGAACAGGTTGCAGGTGTGTGAAATGCGGCGATTAATCACCGCGTTTGTTAGGGTTAATGTTTCTTGCGATTGTTTACTGGATCGCATCAGTAACTTTATGATCAAGCTTCTTTAAGAATTGTTAGAGGCCGAGAGATAATTTGTTATAAAATCATATTTTTCTTATTTAAGAGTCTTATTCAGCAAAATAATTTTCAAATTATTGGTAAAAAAATATACATATAATAATAATATAATATAATATAATGGCTAATTTGTGAAATACATAACTAATAATTTATTTTAATTTAATTTAATCTCGCGTTATGTATTATGTTTTGCACAGTTAAAAATATACGTCCATAAAAATTGATTGCACTATTCGAAAACATTTCCAATGACAATCGTGAAATTTATTTCATTTAATTTATCTTCATTTTTGATGCTAAAAATTATGCTGATGAGTCAAGGTCAGGGCTAAAGATTTATGCGTCTGATATACTCTTAAAGACGTCACGGACTGTTACACTAACTTGTCGGCATTGATCCAAAGATCGGACGATGTCTGAAGCAAGAGTTTCGAATTTTCAGGAGACAGCATAATATTTGATATTATCTATTTTGTCAAAACTTTATTAATATTTAGTAAAATCATTAAATGTGTATAATTATGTCATAAGACAATATATGATTGGTTAATTTATATCAAATCAAAACATATGTAAAGACCAGCACATATTTAAGTGTCAAAATTAACATTTGGTGCAAATTGAAGGAAGTCTGATGATCTCAAGATCTATTCAATTCATATGTGAACATGAAACCATATTATATATAAAATATGTGGGAAAAGAAGAAATCAAAAAATTATTTATATATTTCATAATAAACGCAAATATTATAATATTACAACTTTGAAACTTTTGTTGGATCTAGTAAACAATTCTAGCAAACTACAAACCTCCAATCAACAATTGCAAAAATGCTTTCAATCATTGCAAAAAGTGATAGTATGTTTTTCTTTTTTTAATCTTTGAGATCGAAAGTATATAAATTGAATGTTTCGATGCATTTTCTCCACATGAAACATGTACATGCTGTGTATCTGTGCTCGACGGATTAAAAGAAAACAGAACGGTAGAACGTGATAAATGCGGCTTCGAACCAGAACTCGACATATTTCGTGCCGGAAGTTGACGGATTTGCAAAGCTGACGAAAACTGACCTAGTCAAGAGATAGATCCATTGCACTTCAGTGTCAACGAGCATCATCTCTGATTCACCTTGCTCTTCCGTGCACCAACTTCCGTTTTTCGACATGGCACACATACGGCGGCCAGTGAAGCGGGAAAACTACAAATCTTTCGGAAAAAGAAGGGTAAATTAAAATATCTCCAAATATGTTTATAATATTGTCAAATTTATGAATTAATATCAACGAAACTTTGCGACAAATCGTGCAAATATAATCAGTCATAGATTCATCGCAACGAAAATCTCTACTGAAATAGTAACTATGTCCTTCAGCTACTAAAAGTCTTCGCAATCGTAATAACTGCCAAATGCCTTGGCTCCGACAAATATCTTGCATCTCGAAAATATCGAGACCGGAATATTTACTGCATCGCTGAGCTCATTAATAAGTATATCCGTTTAAAGAGATTTTATATAATAATAAAACAAAAGTAGATACGTATGTGTGTGAAACAGAAATCGATATTTTATTTCATACTTGTAATCTTTCCATTGACGAAATGTTATTTTTTCGTAAGATTGTTTTAGATTCGCTTATAAAATAGATATGCTTATAATAGCGAGTTTCAGTTCGATTATCTGCGTCCGCAACCTCCTATAATATATCGCGAGCATGCGCATTCTGTCTTTGCGAGCACAATGCTCTTAAATTTTATTTTTGCGCCACGTGACCGCGATGAAAGAAGCTACCGTAACGCTCGTATAGTTCACCGATCATTTATTTATGAGATGCGATTTTAAGATCGAAGTTGGTATCTCTATATATCTACAAAGTACTCCAGAATTATCACATTTCTTTGTATCTGCAAAATATTTGAATAATTTTTTAAATTTATCTTTTTTTGATAATATAACAAACTATAAATCTATCTCAAAATCTTTGAAATTATCAAAATTTATTTAAAAAAAATGAAAAAATAATAAAATATAACAAAAATCTGAAAGGACCAATTCTTTAAATAATAAAATTAATAAAAGATGATGTTAAAAAAAGATAAATATAAGTAATATTTAAAAAACTACAATTTTAAACTGCAGAACCTAAAGGTGACAGATTGAAAGAGAGGAAGGTGATACGCGCACGCACCCTGCGTGACCTATAAAGGTGACCTGGATTCCAAGATGAAACTAATTGCAGAAAATAACTAAGTTCTTTGTTAGCTCTATTTTCAACATTAATAAATTTTATTTAATGCCAATTTTTTTTTCACAATTTAATCGATATTAATCAAAGTTATTGCTATTATCTAGCAAAGTTATCTAGCATAGGATTATTTACCATTTAATAAAAATAATATTAAAACAAAAATAATTATTATTCAAGATCATTATTTAGTTTTCCATAGCAAAGTTTTTAATAAGAAATAATAATATTTATTCGAAATTTGTTGTTGGCAATCAGGCAAAACTATATTTCGTAGTCAAATAACAATACAATAAGCAATACATATAATATATAAAAAATGCTGTGGGTCAGTACTCTTTGAGGTAAAAGTGGCAATTTTTTTATCTACGATTCTACTCGTGTTTGTGACATATGACATACTCATACAACCATATCGTAAATAAAAATGGACTGGAAAACGAAAGCATCGTCTCATTTCATTGTATTGCTAACGGTAATAAAAACAAACAACTTGACAACATATTAGAATCGAATTGGATAGGAGAATTCTATCATATCTATACCAAATAAATTTTTTCTGTAAAAAAAGAAATCCAATATTACATATCATCCAGCAAGTATATGCAAAATGTGATTTATATTGAATTCATATTTTTACTGATTTATATAATTACTTACGTGCCTAAAATAATTTAATTAATTTAAGTCAAAACAATAATATTTCCAATAAAAATAATTTATCTGCATAAGTTTAAAAATCATTATACGTCTTTATATATTCCGGAAAAAAGAAAAATTGTGTGTTCTCCTCATATATATTATACAACTTTCGCTTGTCTCATACAATTGTATCCCCATAGCTCCTCGACAATTTTACCTTCTCCCCTCACATGGTCAGGCGGTTGATATCTGAGTATACGTGTACACCGAGTGGTTGATAGAACACGTTGCCGTCAGGGAGCAGTGGCCTGCCGTTGTCGTTCAGGTCGCATGCTCGGGGTGGTTTGCAGAAGAGGAACGCGGTGGAGAGGAACCGGGGATGAAACACCTCTCGGATCGATATAGTCACGGGGGTGTCGTCCACCGACCATTGCAGTGGCGCCCGCGTACGGACGAGTCGGAAAACGGCACTATTGCCAGAGTAACGGTGACCCAGCCAGTGATTTGCCAGGATCATGTCGTGTCAGTGCGCGCAGAGACACCGCCGGCCAAATCGCTCTTACGGGCCGTGCGTTCACCCTTGCCGTGCGGGCTCGCAGGGGTGAAAGTTTCCAGTGGTGAGAGCCCGCCTATCGCGAACACGCGTGACGCGAATCACGATCATCCCGGAGACGATCGCAACGTGATCGATAAAACTCCTAATCTTGAAAGCCGATTTTTTCTTAGATATTACCGTTATATCGATATATCAATTCTTTAAGTATACCCCGTGATATTTTCGAGTGATTGCGTCGGAGAAACGTGAAACACGTGGAAAAAACACAGGCGTTTAGTATCCCACAAACAAGATGCTCTCTCATGTTGAAAAAAAGAAAGGGTTTCCAAGATGAGAAAGTGAATAATTTTATACTTGGAAGGAATTTTTTATTATAGAAGAGAGAGAGAGAGAGAGAGAGAAAGAGTTTGTAAAAGGTACAATATGGACGAATATAATAGGACAAACGCAGATGTTTGGAGGAAAAAATTGGTAAAACCGGCCGGAGCTATTTGTCGATCGACTAGCGAGCTGGAACGTGGAAACTGCACTCGAGGTTGCATGATGTCGTTGACCTCCTTCCGGGCGCCACGGTTCTGCGGTGTACCATCGGTTTAACGTGCTTTGGTATGGGTTACGCGACGAAGAGTTTTAATTTGTGGAATTAATTCTATTTACCGTATAATTAGAGATGTGTGCAATATTGCTAACACTTTGTTGACACTTCTTGGAATTATTTTTGGGAATTATCTTTGTAAAAATGTGATAACTCTGTAAAAGTATGATAGAAAAAGCTTATTGATCTGATTGATTGGTTCTGGCCTAAAATATATTTTACGCAATGTTATCAGAAACATGAAGGAAAGATCTTTGAATGATTCAAAAAAATGCCAAAAGAGATGGGCAAATGTTAGGGGCGCAATGGCTATTATTCACCCATGTTTGTTTAGCTAAAAATTAATCTTATGGAAAAGAGGTATATCTGTCAAATTTATAATATATTGTTCGTTTAATGTCTTTAAAACCACTCATGTTGATGAAAATGGCTTTGTAAGTTCTGCGATGTTTTTTAACATACAAAGAACAAACTTTTCTGATGTTTACAAAAAGCTTTCACTCTCACGTTTTATTCTAGACTCCTTTTCTTATAATTTTATATAATTCTTATCAATCATATGTTAATTTGCTATTTATATATTTTAATTTTGATTACATATCAAAATTTTGACGATTCAGACAACGAAATTCAAAGTAACGGATCTCTAAAAGAATCAACAGTATCGATTATCCAGAAATGAAGTTGATAATTCAAGAGTCGATTTCGCGTTTCTTCGAATTGCTGCACTTTCGATTGACTAGCGAGGCGAATGATAAGGTTATTTGTGAAGTTATTTCTGCAATGGATTAATTAATTATCCAGATAGATGAGGTGATCGGGGAATTGCGTGACGATGCTCGACGTAATTCTTTTCTACTCTACTTTAACTCACTTCACTACTTTACTACTCTAATCCAATTTCTACTTTTTCACTTTTACTGCGTATTAGCATTTTCATTTTTCTTTTTTTCCTAAGCCGGAATAGGTTCGGTAAATGTAAGCCTCCCCCTTTGGAATATTATAGCGAAAATTAACAGCGGGAATTAAATTCCTAGCTTTTCCCCAACGTACTTTATTGCACTTCATATATACCGGGTAAAAAAAAATTTTAATCGTAAGAATATAACACACACATACATTATTTATTTCTCGATTAAAAATTTATTTAAACAGAATTTTAATTTTAATCTGATATATTAAATTTTATAATAAAGTATTTCTTCAGAAAGAGAGAGAAAGTTTTGCATTATAAAAGATATCTTTTGTTTTAAAAAATTTATTTTTTATGTTATAAAGGAAGATTTTCATCTTTCTCACGATTTAAAACAATTTTAACATAGAAAACTAAATTGAATGGTTATTAATTATAAGAAATTTGAAAACTTCGTCTAAAAGATCGTTGCTATATACAACAAACGCCAATTGCACGTAATCTTTCTTTTACATTGATTGAGATTTTCCGCTAAATTGATTTTTGAAAAACGTAGATTGCATCCGACGCTTGTAAACACTCGATTTACATAAGTAGCATCACCGACAATGACTTCCGATCTTCTCTAGCTTAAGAACTCTTCAATAACGGAGACAATCAGCTGAAAAGTTTTGTCGTTAAAGCTATAGACGTACGAATCAGATAAATAAAACCATTGATTGCGAATTTCAATTAAAACTTATCGTTGTAGGAAAAAGGAATTAGTTTCTATATTTATCGCGATTATTCTCAAACTCGGCGATTCACAATCTTTAAAGTGACAAATAAATTTACGACATCATAAGTTTCTATAAATAAAAGCAATTTTTCTTAATTACTAATAGTTCTTATTTTCAATAAATAAAAAGATTTTATTCAAATTACTTTTAGTTATTTATTATTTATAAGAAAGAATTAAAATTTAAATTATACAGCAAGAGAAAACAATGTGAAGAACACATAAAAATAATATATTAAAGAAATTCTATTTTTCATTGGAGATTTCTGCACTCTACTTTCTCATTTTCAGCAGTACGTTGTCAATATCTTTGATATATTTTGTAGTGAAAAAAATGAATTTTGCATGCGAGCGGAAAATAATACATTTTAATGGGATCGTATTTTAAAATCCTGTTGCAACATTTATATTAGCTCGATGCTCGCATATCACATGACCTAATAGAATTATCGAATCGCATAGACAATGAAATTTTCAATCAACTGTGATTGCGGTGAATATTTTAGACGATTAATGGAATAGATCGCGTGCAAGTAGTTCAACTTTATATCAACCGAATCATAGCAGAAGTGATGGATTGAGAAATCGTTACGTGCATTTTATGATCGTTTGATTTGAAGCCGGTTTGTGAACGTAATATTATTTTAGTAGACGTAATGGTTTTATCAATCCTTATAAAGATCATTCGAAACTGATAATGATTATGCTACCGTATAGTTACAATTCATCAGAGAATAATTAGAATTAAAACATTTATATTCTCTAGAATATCTAGTTCTAAATGTGTATAGAAACTAGTGATAGAATCCATTATTCATTATTACCAGCGTTGACGTACGAGCTATTTTTATCCTCTATCTCGTATATCGTTGCTCTATAATTTATTGATGCTTCGTGCTTACATGTACATTTTCGGCAATGTGGGGCAGACAATTTTAGGTAGTTGCATTAACTTCTTTGTAGTGTCTCTCTATATTCTTACACAAGCAAATTTGGTCAGGTCATTTATGGAACGGATAGATTTAGAAAATGGTTCAATTTTGTTTTATTTTTCTATCTTCATTTTTGTCTTAATTGTATAATATTATATAATACATTGTTATAATAGTACGGCGATATTTAGTCCGTGAAAATCAATATTATGCTAAATTCAATACGCGATTAGGTCGATAAATTACATCGTTCGTCCAATGTAATTTATTATATTCTCATATATTTTTTTATTGTATTATCTTTTTCAACGACATGCTTTCTTGCAGTTGATTTAAATCGAAGTTCTACTGTATCTTACAGAGAGCTATTATTAAAGAAAGGAATATTTTAAATCTCGGATCTAATTATTCGCTATGAATATAAAACGCGCCGCAACCTATCATCGTGAGATGATGATGATAATGATCGCTCAGGAATAGATGAAGATTCGTGTTTGGATGGCTTGCAAACGAAAGCGAAAAAAGCTTGAGATACGACGTGCCTGAGAAAAGTTCTCGGAAACCCTGTGCCACTGCGCCATTTAACATGGCGTAGCGGCACAAGCTCGAATATCAGTGCAACATAGAGAGATCGAGCATTATAACGAGAATGAAAATAGTCATGCGGTAGCATGGACTAAACGAGAGCGCTTAGAGTATCAGCTCGATAAATTTTGGCTCCAAATTGGAGCGAAGGCAGATTGAGTACCATCAAAACAACAGCCCTGGCATCCATGGTGATGATTCCCGGCGATGATCGGGTACAATCAACACAATTCCGGCTACAACAAGCTATTTACCCAGGTATATTAAGAGAAACACGGATTTCTTTCATTTCCATTTATTCAACAAATATAAAAAATGTCGAAGATGTTTTATTATTTTTTTCATAAATTGGTGTTAGCAAAACATCGTCAACAGACATTATGTGTCTGTTGTTAATAACAAATTCCCTTTCAAGTTATTATGTCGATATAATTTTATCTTTCTTTATAAATTTTGTCCTCTTCTCGCTCTTGGTCATTTCTTTGTCCAACCACTTTTCGCAAGGCTATAATAAACAAAAATATGTTTATACAACATTGCTCACCTTTTTATTTCTCTTGTCAAAGAATAATTGTAATTAAACTTGAACACGTCAAAGGAGTTTACATATTACGAGAGAGGCCTCCGTATAAAAATAACTGATATATTGTGACCGCACTTTGAGCAAGGAGGCGCAAGGAAAAGCGTTCGATCACGTCAAAGACGCGCCGCTTCGTAGACGTATAAGATTTTCTACAGCATATCGTTTAAGGTCCATATTAGGCACGTGGCGTAAAGCAGAAGCGATCATCCGTGCCATCATTACAGCAATGATTTACACCAATCGCGCGTTTGATCGAAGTTAACTTTTCTTTTAGCATGAAATCGAGCTTCGTGCTTGAACGGTATGCTTTATTGACCTTGAACTGCAGTTTTTATCCTTGATGTATTTTTCTCAATTTATGCATCTTTCGAGATATTGCTGCTGAAATTTTGCACGAAGATCTCCAGCATTAAACTCTAAATCAACTTCATTTTGATTGAGAGTTTGTAATTCGTTTCATCAATAAATATATAGTAAACATAAATTATTTTTATATATAATTATGATAGAATTTTTAATTTATCAGCTTATTCTTGAAATAATTAAAATTTTAATTGATATTTGGAATAATTTAATTTTAGCTGAGCTATAATTCTAACAGTAATTATTTTTTCAATTATTCTTATTTTGAATGCATAAATAATTGCAATGCACATATTTGACAAGATTATTTTGATTGCTTATTGAATCAATGTTCACTCTACCGTCTTCTTAAATCATATGGATATTATTGACGCTTCTCGTTTTTTTCGTGAAAAATAGCATGCAATAATCTTCTGATAACTGATATTTTTTAATTAAAAAAACGTAGCAATATATAAAAGATTTTTAAAATATATCATGAAAAAGTACTACCAAGTGGCTAAGTCGCTAAGTATTATCGATACGTTGATTTCGATATTAAATTAAAAGTATATATTATATATAAATGCTTTCTATAAATACATAAATGCATGCCTATCTTTACGACACCTTTACTTTGCAATTTGCATGATTGTAATACAGAAGACTTTCAGAAAAAATAAGATAGAAGCAATAATACTTTTTATAAAAAGATTATTTACTAAGTAATATTTTTTTAGAACATCGTTGTATATTTTTTGAGTCGATCTATTCTCTTTTCTCTTGCATTTATCATGCAAATTGTAGGACACTCAAGATAGTTGTATCGTAGGCACGCATGTATTTATATATTTATAAAGATTGTTGGCATGGCTATGGCCCATCGAACAAATATATTTGTTCTTCAACAAGCCTTTTTGAGAGGAAGACGATACCGATAATTTCCCACAGAAATAGCAACTTATTGATGCAAACTAAACGTGGCACGATTAATCTTGAGTGATTAAACGAGAAATAATATAATTAAATTAATATAAGAATAAAATTAAAATATGAATATGAATATGATAATGTTATTATCATGAAAATTTTTATTGTGATTTAAATATCATAATTAAATCTGAAAATAGGAGCATAGATTATCTTTGTTTTTGAGTGAAGTCTTTGTTCTACACAAGTTCTGTTTCTTAAGCATATAAAACTTTATTATTATTTTTATTCTAAAATAATAATTATTTATTAAGATAAACATAACTTTATATCAAAAAGATTTATTTAGAAAATATACTCTAAGAGCTGCGTTAAGTGAAGTATATAATTTATTCTTTAATATAGAGAGGCGAGCTTAACAGATATATGGAAAGATGCCTCTCCAAGTAATATTTATAGAATAAAGAGAATTATCATATGTAATTCATATGAATTTTTAATAAACATAAATGAGTTTGGCATTTGAATATCCGAGGATCTCTGTGGCATTAAATTGATCAAAATATTACATTAATATTACATTAATAAAATCACTGATATTCTATATTCGCTAGGTCCCATTAACGTTAATTAAAGTTCATGCTAGCCTCAATCTCTTGTTTACGACGACGAATATTAATTATGCGTAGGTCTTCTCTCCTATACTCGATCGATTCTTTTAATTTTAACAGGAACTAATTAACGCTTGCTAGACTGCTTTCCTTTGTTATAAGGTAATCTACGCCGATGCTTGTAGGGCGTGATAGACGTAATCAACTGCGTCGTAGGGCGCTTTATCATTCACGGTCTCGCGGACAAAGTCAGAGTTAGCGTTACATGATTACACAGAATAAATAGATGTTGCTTAAATATACAGAATTCAAGAGATAAAACTCCTCTTGAAATATCGATGTATGAGGGTAATTCAATAAATAAAGTAACAAAACATGCTATATGCGTATAGTTGCTAATATATGTTACCTTATTTATTGAATTACCTTAGTAGAAAATGTTCGTAGGCGATGTTTTAATGTTAATATATTTTTGCTATAAGTAATCTTATATAAAAATGCAAGTTCTCTCAATCATAGAATATTGCAATTAATATGTTTGCGAGAGTAATGTATTTATAAATCCCTAAAAACTTACCTTTTCAAAAAAAGGTAAAAAAAGGCGCCAAGTGCACGCGCTATGTGAAAAAGTGTTACACAAAAAACAGTATTATTTTTAAATATTTCTTTTATTATTATTTAAATAAAAACATTTTAACTAATAAAACTGTTATATAAAAGCAGTTGTTTTAATTTCCTTGAAAAATAATGATACCAAAAAATTGCGCCAAGTGAATAAAAATTTATAAAATTTATTTATTTTATTATTTCCAATATAAGGAAAAATATAATTAAAGTAGTAGGGCGTTAATATTTTATTAAAAACTTGCAGTCAATTTGCCCTTAAATACAATATACTGCGGTAGAGATGAATTAATATTTAAAACTAATGTAAATGTAAATAAATGGTGAATTTTTCTATGCTTTTTAAAACCTAATTGTGTTTGCGAAATTACACGGATCTCACGAATAACTTGTCTGATTTTAGGGCTCGGCAGACTCGAACTACTCGCAGCCGAGCTCAGATCTCTCGCTGGACGAGGAGAAGGAAAGCTTGCGACGCGAGAAGGAGAGGCAGGCCCTCAATCAGCTCGAAAAAGCCAGGGTAAGTCATTGATCCTCCACGTGCTCCAGTTTGGTTCGCTCCTTTACAGTGACGCGCCGTTTTATCTCTTTCATTTTTTTCTCTTTGCACGCTGGATCATCGCGTATCGATCAAGCGGGCGTATCTTATCATCCGCCGTATTTCATCATAAACATCGAGAATTTGCATGAAAAGCGACGAAATTGGACGCGTCTGCGACGGAATGCAGTATCGAGGAAATAAAAAACAAAATGAAATAAAACGTAGCTCAGTAAAGTGCCAATCAATCGCTTTGCGGAACTTCTTTTTGCGCTTATACTCCAAGTCATGAAGAAAAATACGATCCGATCTAGAGAATCATACGAGTGCAGCCTTAGATGCGGCAATAATGTCGGTAATCATGTCGAGAGATGTTTTATGAGAAAAACATGCGTGGAAGATATTTGTCGAAATACTTTTACATTTGCTACGCTATTTTATTTTTATTTTTTTTTGGAGTAAATTTTTAGAAATACAAATATAAAAGAGAATGATATAAAATAATCACAAATATTATCTTGCTAAAAAATATTCTTTCAATCTAGATTCAATTACAAAATATAAAAAAAAAATATTTAAAATGCAACACACCTTGCATTGTAATAATATTTCTTACACGCTTTACATTTAGAAATATTTAAGCGAACAATTTGCGAAGACTGATAAATTGCCTAACGAAGGTAGCAGAATTAAATGGCAAACGCAAATAAAGTTAGGATGAGGATTTGATCGACTCAGTCTTCTTCGGCTTAGTAATGAACAGATATTGATTGGCGGGAGACGACCTTCGAGGGATAGTTCGTCGCAATAAAAATGAAAAGCTCCTCGCTTCGTTGTAATAGTCCTTTATTCTTTATTGAAAAGACGACGTTGTCACTGGCAATGCGTCCACGCATAAGCTGACAATGTGTCGATCGGCCGTGAAGCTCGTCGACGCGACGCGATGATGTAGTCGGTTTATTTTCCACTTCATACAAGCGATATAGCTATCCGTGTTTGTGTACACATGGCGATATAGAAGCTGCACCGTGACCCGATAGAAAAGTCGATAACACGGAAAGTGGGCGATGATACGTAACTAAACACGGTGGTACGCGACGACACCGCGTTGTTTGCCATCAAACTTGATAATCATATAGCCCAACTTTCTTCCCGCGTATCTGAGTAATCGCAGATGGTTTACATTATAAAGCAGATATTTTAAAAAAATCATATTAATGAAATTAATTTAGTTAAACAAAATATATCGTTTTTTTATATGTTTTACAACGCGAGATTGGCAAGAGCAAAAATTAGAAATATTTATTGATATAAATCGAAATACTGCAACATTGATTAAGCAAATATAATGTAGAACGCGTTTACAAATTCTTTGTACAATTTCCAATTTACATTTTAGTCAAAGCCGGTAGCGTTTGCAGTGCGGACCAACGTGAGCTATGACGGATCCGTCGACGATGATTCACCCGTCCACGGCTCCGCCGTCAGCTTTGACGTCCGCGATTTTCTTCACATCAAGGTAGGAGCGCATGTTTCCTTAGATTTTTTTTGTTATACATCCTGAAATTCTCTTTGCTCATAAACCGCGCGTTCTTTCAGGAGAAGTACGACAACAACTGGTGGATTGGCAGGCTCGTGAAAGAGAACTGCGACGTCGGTTTCATCCCGTCACCGGTGAAGCTGGAGGCCTTAAGGTTACAGGCGAGCGCCGCGCGTGGTACGAAGGGCCTGTACTCGACTCGAGGAGGGTCTTCAGGGAACCTTGGCGAGAGTGGTATGCCCTCACGTGGTTCCACACCACCTACGCCAGGTATCCTAGCACGTCCTTCTTTCTTTCCCCCAAAATTCACGATGTACTCAATTCGATGTACCTGATCGGGAAATTTCTCAGCTTGATCCTCGAGTGTATTACAGGCGGACGGATTATTGCTACAGGCCGGTAGTAAAAAAATACGTGACGAATAACGTTCGCTTGAAATTCTAAGTATCCTACTATTTTAAATACACAAACACCAGCTTTCAGCGCTTATATCGCTCCCAAATATTTTAGATTAAAGCAATTTCTGCGTAGTCCGCAAGTGAATGAAATTGCGCGCACACGCGTACACGAATTATGTTTAATATTATAACACTTAATAAAACATGTAGAATTCCTTTAATATTATTGCAATTCATCAGATTTCGACATTAAATAATATTTCTAACAATCATTGGTTTGGCTGAAAAATATATAAATACTCTACACAGATACGTTAATGTCCCTGCCACGGATAGGTGGTTGCTACAAGTGTATCTGGGCTTGTGCCATCCTCCACTACATACACCCCTGTTTAATACAATTGGGTGAGAATTTTAGTTTACCTGTGACAAACACAGATAAATTAACTGTGGATTTTATAAAAAAACGATGAGAACAATTTAAGGAAACTGCCTATTAAAACACAAGTAACTATTAGAAACCGGTCTACATATATTAATCAATAAGTTCCCTTTCTACTCATCTAATTTGATAAATTACACATTAGACATTTTTAATTCCTTCCACTCTTGAATACAATTTACGGTAGAAGTTGGGGAAAATAATAGATTAAACTTTCTTGACATCACCACGATCTAAAAAAAAAAAATTACATAATTTGTGACTGATTTCATAAAACATGTTCTGAGGCAGATATCTTTACTTTTTATCTCAATATCCAGCTTGTCAAAAAAGAGGCACTGTGATAGGTCTCATAGAGTCTTTTTATTGTCATACCCTAACTTCCATTCCAAGAATATTGAGTTGGTTATTAAAATTTTATTGCACAATTGTTATTGTTATTTTACTGCACACTTAGTTTTATTTTCCAAATTTCCGCCTTAAAACATTTTTTAACAATTTTAAAGATACAAATATGAATATTATTGAACGCAGCTAAATTTAATACTTAATTTAAAGATTATATTGTGCCCGTCCCCCCTGGATTTGACGATTTCCATTGATTTTACAATTTATGTAAGCATTTTTATTGTGACAATGTTTGCGTTTTGCAGTCATTTTATTGTTATTGTTTTGAATTACGCCGAGGATGGCCCAAAAAAGGGATCGAAACGTTCGTTATATGTATGTTAAAAAATTTTTTACTTATAACAACTTTATAACAAAGTATGCGCTACCGCTATTGCGCTGGCTCTTATACACATGCTATTTCTTTAATTCAATTTTATTAAATAATATCTTTTTTTATTCCTTGCGGTTTACACGGAGATGCGAGCTTCTTTATTTCTGCTCTCTCGTGGAAAAGATTGTTCACTGCTTCCTCTATTCATTATATACACATCCTAGTTAGTTTTTATTACATTGCTAAAATCATTAAGGTAAGTCATTTTATTTGTGCCACTCATGTCAACACACCTGCGATTCTTAGTACTGCTGTAGCTAGCTGCTGATCTTTGATAGCCGCTACTATAAGCAAAAACACGAGCATAAATTAGCGAATTATATCTACGCTGCATCACATCAGTTGAATGCTTCTTGATAGCTTCTTTGAGAGAAAGAGGGACTTGTCGTTCACACGTAAATTAAATAAGATTTTGAGTAATTGCGAACATATTCTTTTGACAGGTGACGACAGTGACAGTGTCGGCAACGTACGACCCGGCAAGGCGACCCTGACGACACCACCTGCTAAGGAGAAGCGGAAGAACTTCTTCAAGAAGCCGGTAAACATTCAGCGGATCACGTTGTCGCGATTATCTAAACGCACCATGCACATCTTGCCGCTTCTTGAGCTTTTATTAAATGCTTTCACTTATTGTTAGATTAAATGCTATATATACGCACACTGGAGTGATGTTCAACGATGCATCATGCGTAATAATGTATATCACATTATGATGTTAGAAAATCTGAAAATTTGACAACCCTAGGTTTATTCGCTCCAATATTTATTACTGTTTTAGAATAGTTTATTTAATTTCTTTTATTTAACACAATTTTTAAACAATAAAGATAATTACATTTAGACGCACGATGCATTAGTTTCTCTCGCACTAGTTAAGCGTACAAATAATCCTATCTAATAGTCTTATCTATATATAATTGCTCGATTTTGCAACTTTATAATGTGTCCATATTAAAACGTTTTATCCAATATTATTTTATTACATTGTTAGATATTTATTTTTTAGCGAAAATATATTGGATAAAAAACATTAATATTCACTAGGGCAAATAAATTTGAAATTATACCGTTAGTATTAAGCATTCGGTTAATGATCAAACAATCTTTCATACGGAGGATGTTTCTCTAACAATAACATAATAAATTTACCAGTCGACGCCAAAAAATATTACGGCCCTCTCAAAATCTGTATATCTATAAGCATATGTTACATTTCGAAATCATTCTAAACATTCGCACTCAGTTCTAAAAATATCGTTGAAATATTTTTAGCGCGATTAATCTTTTATAGCATCATATCTAAATCACTTAGTATATAAAATTTTATTACACTAAATTATTATTTTTTTATTAGAATTATCACACACATATAACTTGAAACACGCATGTACTTTCCCTTTACACAGCACATTACATCACATATTGTGTCAATATACATAACGTTTAATGCAGATACTACGAGAACGACTAATACTAAATACTCTATCACATGCATTTTAACACTGCTCTCTTAAACTGAATTAGTGAAAATATTACTGATTAAAGCAGTGATAAGATTTCATCGAAAATTAGTGAATATTTCACTGATCTTCAATGAAAACACATACTTTATTTTTTTCATCTTGTTTCACTGCAGTATAAGAGATATTTTACTGAAAGATCAGACGTTACCACTAACTGATTCTTCTCAGTAAGATTTCACTATTTGCAGTGCTATAACTGAAATCACTGCTTATCAGTAATAATACATTGATTCCATTTAAGAAAGTGTTAATCAATTTTTTTTGCCACGCGTACAGCGTTCGTCCAACGATCATCTTTATCCGGAGCCGCGCATCATGACGAAAATTGTTCACCGCCGTAGAGTAGTATTTAGTCGATGCGATTAGGAGGCCGTTAATACCTTAGTTCAATATAGTAGTTACTAACATGCTGCTTGGCCAAAGTACCTTCGGCGTTGAAGAGGATGTCCCGTAGGCGGGCGTTCAAGGAAGGACTTTGGCCGTGCAGGAGGTCGCATGTGTCAAATCGACATGGCCATTAACTGATTTCAATGTTTCAATGTTGCATACCGTGCTCACACGCAGTCCTACGTAAGTGAGACTATCCTGGGGCCGATACCGGCGAACGGGGCTCGTCTTGATTGGCCGGACTGATCGTTTACTCGAATTTTCAGGAAACGACGACCCCCTACGACGTGGTACCATCCATGAGGCCTGTGGTACTGGTCGGGCCGTCGCTCAAGGGTTATCAGGTGACAGATATGATGCAGAAGGCACTCTTCGATTTCCTTAAACATCGCTTCGAAGGCAGGTCTGTCTCGATTTTTTAGACTCATCTCTATTAATTTTAAATCAACTAATCTTTTTTCTCATATTTCTGCATAACAAAAAAAAAAATAAACAGCTGTGTTAATTCTAGCAAGCTAATCCTTTTTTTATATTAGTAAAAAAAAAACGAGCATTAGTTGTCATTAATTCTCTCTCTATATCTGCTCACTTTCATAATTAAATTTGGAAAAAAAAATATACGTTACTATCATACTATGCACACTAAACATGCCATACAAATTGTTAAGCAGTAAAAAATTAATATTTAACTTATATTTTTTTTATATTATTAATTGCATAAAAATTATTGATTATTACAGAATTATTATCACGAGGGTAATGGCAGATATTTCGTTAGCGAAAAGATCCTTGCTGAACAATCCAACTAAAAGAGCAATAATGGAACGGTCAACCAGCAGGAGCAGCTGTTTAGCGGAAGTTCAGCAAGAGATCGAGAGGATTTTTGAACTTGCTAGAACTCTTCAGGTTTGTAAAAAGATATTTTAGATCAACATTTCTGTATAAAGTTTTTCTATTTTATTATGTTTATTCTGATGGTAAGAGAGCTTTCATGAGAGAGAAAGCTTTTCAGATATAAGTTAGATATAATAAAATTTATCCGTTTCGAATAAATTAATGGATCAAGTTTAATGTACACTTTCAGTTAGTTGTTTTGGATTGCGATACCATAAACCATCCATCGCAGTTAGCGAAGACCAGTCTGGCGCCAACGATCGTTTATTTGAAAATTTCTTCGCCAAAAGTTCTGCAGAGGCTGATTAAAACCCGAGGGAAGTCGCAGATACGTCACCTCAATGTGCAGATGGTGGCCGCGGAAAAACTGGCGCAATGTCCGCCAGATATGTTTGACGTCATCCTGGATGAAAATCAATTAGAGGAGGCGTGCGAACACGTGGCCGAGTATCTGGAAGCATATTGGAGGGCGACGCATCCGCCAGATTTTACCTCGGTGCCACGAGCCGTGCCTGCACCTGACGCACCGACAGATACATACACGCAACGCGTGCCATCAGGTATCACGATTATTTCATAAGATCAGGCGAAGATTATTGATTAGTTATAAATTATTTTTAAAAAACTTTAGACTTACAAATATTTTATACATCTCAACTTAATAAGATAATCAATTTCCGTCCACTATTCTCTCTCTCTCTCTCTCTCTCTTCATTAACTAAAATTATGAAAGCCGAAATATTTGTCTTTTAAAAAGATGATGATAAATACAGAAAATTTCTAATCGATCAAAAATATTTTTATTTTCGAACAAATTTTAAGAAGAACAGATCTTAAAATAATAGAAAGATTTTTTAAATAGCACACGCGCGGGGGTAGAGATTTACTCGGAAGTCAATACTTCGGTCGTTAGGTAATAGTTCTGTGGAAACTATCCAAGATTGTCAAGCAGCACAGGAAACAATGTAAAACCGATGTGATTTACAACGATATATCACTTTTGGCAGTGACACATAGCGCAAAATGACGCATAATACGTCGATTGACGTCTTTGGCACTGCCGACCGGAAATAGAGCTCGTCTATGAACATATTTGGCAATGCACAAAGCTAGTTAGTGACCGAAATACTGACTTCGCGGAAAATATTTATTATGGTATTCGAAGAAAATAAATTTGAAAAGACGTAATTAACTATTTATTATTCAAATATCTTGTAATATTTAATATAGCAAAAGCAGTTTTTTTTTGTCTTGACTGTTTTGTGATGTCTTCATCCAATATCCTGATCCTCGCTCGTGCCTTCTGGCCTGCTCAAAAATTTAACGAGACCCAATGTCGCCACTAACACACTACTTTCTTCTTGTCCTCTCAGGTGCCCCTCATGAGCCTTATTATCATCGAAGAGGTAAATCAATATTTTCCTCCTCAGCATGTATCTCTGCATACATACACTTGTGTATCTCTTGTTTTTATCTTTATCTAGCAAATGGATCGCTAAATTGCATGTGGACGTATTATATGGATTCGTCTTAGAGAATATAGTGTTCTATCTTCACAAAGACTTGCTAAAGATAGTTAGGCATTGCATATTGCATCCTGTCAAAATCTATACATATCCGAAAAAAATGGACAAAAAAAATAGAATTTAATATTGTGGAAAAATTGTAACATTTTCTTTATTATAAATATTATATAAAATGAAATTTACTGATTTTTTCAAGTTATTTTAAGAAGCTCATTCTTTACGTAAATAATAATTGCTCGAAAAAAGTTGCAAAATCCATGCGTGCTTTCAAGCTACGCCAGATTAACGCCAAAGCTATTGCGCGATTGCGCGAGGCAGGAAGCCAATGATAGCTATACTCCATTTGCGAGTTCTCTCTTATTTATCTTCTTCGCAATTATACTCATCATCAATTTCTAAATTCTTTAGTAACAATATGCAAAAAAAAATCATATGTGATCATATATGATTTTATATAATTACATAAGTCTATTTTTTTCTCGGGTTACCTTTATTTTTTCTTGTTATTACATATTATCTGTTGCATGCTATTTTACATACAAAATATAGCAATTCTTACACAATTGTTATGTCGATGTTCCAGATTGTGTAGTAAAAAAAAATTTATGTAATATTTTTCTGTTGCATTGTCTTTTATAATTTAAATTTCTCTTAATTATATAAGAGAAAATTAATTATTTGTTATGATATTACTTGTTAGTAAATGCGCATTTTTATTTCACAGACGTTATTATATAATATCTTTTACGCATATACATGGAGAAATTTTGATGTTATTTATAATTTTATTTTTAATTTATTTATTTTATTATGTATTAATCTACAAATCGTAGAAGATCTTTCTATCGGTCAGGTTATTATCTAATAGGGTTCCAACTTCGCATTCTGTCTCAATTCGTCTGTTAAAAGAGTAACTCAGTGACAGCTAAAGTTGCCTCCACATTTATCGCATATTCGCTCATCATTGAATTGATATCGCCTTATCCTGACATTATATTTCTTTTCAGCGGCAATATACGGATCGAATATACGGATTGATACGAACTTGTATCCAGTGCAGTAAGACCGGGCGCGTTTATCTCCCTGTTAGTGCGGACTATTTTATGTTTTGTTTTTATTTGTGCAATCGCTCTCCTAATCCTTTTCACGCGTACAGTTACCAGAAAATTTCTTCTCCTATAATAAATTTAATAATTATTAAAAATACATGCTTATCTTAATATTATCTTTAATTGCAACTTATTTCGAGCGTATATACGCTGTATTTTATTATTCATCACAAATGGATCTCTAATTCAGATAAATTGCAATCAAAATACGAGAGTAATAAGTGAATATAAATTCTCATATATAATACAATAATTTATATAGTTTTATCTGCGAGGATGTCGGGAACGGCATGCTCAGATTATAGGCCCTGTTATTATCAGCAACGAGCTCTGACTCCGATGTTCTCTTTGTTTACGTGTAAAAGTGGAGGCGGTGGCTGCCACGGGAATCATCCGAAAACAGAGCCAGCACAGCTATGGTCGTGATGACCAAGAGACCAAGACGAAACAATCGAATTAAGAAGGTCCAAATACGCGGGACGTACCTATTGTTGTGCGGTCGCTTCTACTTCCTCCATTCATCGCGCAGTTGCGATTTTATGCGGCATAAAAGCGGCCGAGAGTTTTACACACCGTTCAGCCTGTGAATATTAATTCCGGGTGTGGATGAGATTGAGAGAATTAGAGACTGTGTAATAGGGATCCCTTTGTGAGGGCGCGTGTAGTAAGTACAGATGGGTTTGGTGCATGGGCCCGGAAACACGGAACCGACCCGATTTTATTTCTCTCGAGCAGAGAAAATGATTTATGTTCCCTCTATCATTTTATATTCCTTGTATGCAGTGGGGTAACTGTAAGTTCGCCATGCAGAGAATAGTCAAGGACTTTCTAGAATATAAAACACTTTGACGTAAATTATTACATACGAGTCTCATCCTGCTCACCTGCTTCATTTAAAAAATTATTTCCAAACGCAAGGTCGTAAAAATACGGCCATTTACATAAATTTATACCTGCACAATTATTTCTTTTTCTTCATGCATATTCCCAATTTTGGTCAAAAAGTACAATCCGCTTTTCAAAAATTTTCAGGATTTTTGCACGCAATTTTATTTTATTCGTAAGAGATTTTGGATATATTTATTGCCAACATATTTTTAATATAATTTATACATACGATTAAAATATTATAAAAGTTATTTGATTTTGCTGCAGTTATGTATTGGCGCAATTACGCCACTGTTATTCAACTCCATTTTTTGCCCATGATAACGGCTCGTTTCAATACTTAGAATTTTATTTTGGTTGAACTTGTACTTATCTGCTTGTCATTTTTAGATACATACTCAATATTTTCTTTTCGAAATAAAAACAGATAAATATATACATAGTATATTACTGTATATATTATTTACAGATAAATATATTTTTACGTAAAATTAATAAAAGTTTGTAAATCATGAACTGTCTTATATTCCTAAGTGTCACAGTTTTACAATTATTTTATTCCTTAAATTATATAAAATTTGACTTTGATATATCTTATATTTTCTTTTTTATTCTAAAATAAAAATATGTAATTATTAAAATTGAAAATATAGAATAACACAATTTCTTTTTTATTTCTGTAATTACGTCAAAAATTCCAATATGTCACAATCAGAAGTTCAATCGTTGTTTTTGCCAAACATCCCTGTTTTATTTTAATACACATATGTTTCGCAAGCCCTTCACCAACCCCTTACATAGAATAGGATTATAGAATAGAGATTATCTAACGATAGAGAGAGAAATTAACGATATAATAGCCGCGTGAGTCGAGAGGGCAGAAGTTATGAAGGGTTTCCTCATTCTCGTCGCGGATCATACGCGATCTATCATCTCGCGGAATTTATGTTCGAATTTGCATTAATCGTTGCGACGAGTACACTCTTCTACTTCTCGATTTCTGCGCACTTGCGCAATGGTAGTTTGAACGTCGGAGTCTTTGCGACGTATATCGTTTTTTATTTAATTTTTTTTTTCTTTTTTTGCTTAGAGCTTGCATGGATTAGGTAGCGTGAAATGGTTGGAATGAATTGGCTGGAATGATCTGATCCTTAGTGCTCACAACAATAATCACTCCCGAGTGGCATTTCTTTTCATAGAGTAGAATTTTGAACAATTTAATTGATAAATGTTCGGATTAACTTATACCTCATGGATCGTTTTCATTTTTACATATATTGTGGAGAGTACATTCCTAAGTAAAACACGTTTTGAATTTTATTGCGCTCTCTTCTGGTTCCAGAGATGTGCGATTTTGAAGTTTCACAGTTTTAATGCTTTTTCTCAGGTATTATAAAGTAATATTAGGAAAAGTGAAGTTTGTGCACATTATATTTATTGTAGAGCAGACGAAAAAGTGTTTGTTTACATTTACGGGATAGGTACACGATCATAAATATTTTGTCAATAATGTATTTCTCGCAGTTTGTTAACAGTGTTTAACATGCGATTACATGAATTTCTGAGGTTTGGGTTATTCAAACCCAAACCAAGAAATTCTTAGCGAAACTAAACAGTAATCCAAAAGCGTACTGACAATGACGCAATAACGAGCAAATGAAAATAAAAAAATATGATACTTTAACGCCACAAAATTCAAAGCGTGTATTACTTAGGAATGTACCCTCTACAATATATTTAAAAATGGAAACGATCCGTGAGGTGTAAGTTAATTCGAACATTTACCATGTAATTTTATGTAGATAGCTTCTTGGCATTGGAATTTGTGATTGTTATACAATTAATTATTTCTCGATAAAACAAATTCCATTTTATTCAGAAAATTCAAAATTTCTATTATAACTATAATATGTATATAAATACATTCTCTTCTCTTATTATCTATATAATTCATAAAGATATCTATAAAAATGTTTTTATTTGCATCGCATCAATGAGTTATATTTTTCAATCTTTTTATCAATAAAATCCTGATAGCTTACTAAGAATAGTAATATGTACACAGAATAATAATAAAAATATAAAGTTTGTCAAAATCAGAAACTGCTTGAGCATTTTAATATGATTTTATATAAATCGCACAATGACTTTAATTTTTCTCTATCTAATTTAGGAGCCAGTTACGGTGCCGGGGATGTCAGCGGCGGTACAAGAAGATCGCGGCTGGAGCGGATGGATCGGGGAGATCGCATGGATCACGATTACGGTGAGGAGGAGCACGGCGTCGATTACGGTAGTGCCTCGAGACGTCGCCAGCAGCAGGACTCGCGCGCTCTTAATGCTATTTAGGAGCTGGGGCCCCGGGGCCTGTCGCTACAGCGCTGTCCCCATCTGCGCACCACCGCCCTATAAAGGGCTCGCCTCCCGGTAACGCTACCGAACGTTAGAAAGTGCGCTACCTCGCGATAAGATCGCTGCGCTCTGTTAGTGGGGCTGTTTTCTGTCGCGCTAAAAAAAAAGGGGAATGAAAAAAAAAGAAGAAAGATAGGAATCCGCAGATCGGCCGACACGCGCCACCGAGTTTAAAAGACGCTACCATGTATATCGATTCTATCCGGGTGCATTTTGAGACGATCTCGAAACCGTTGACGATTTATCTTCGCGTACCTGTTCACAACTAGGAAACCTCGCTATTGATACGCTACCAATCGCCAGCAGCGTGCACGCTATAATCTCGGAAAACACTTGCATTTTTGTATTCGCGCTGCTTGCGAGAAAAATTAAAGCGTGATGCCAGATTTCATTGCTGTTTAATTGGAGAACGCGATTCAGTTGCGCTGTAACTGTTGGAGAATTTTGTATCACAATCGAAACGTGAATCCTTATCTTCCGAAAGCTCTTGCATCTATAATAATTCATTATAATGTTCACTGTGACTACTATTCTTTTGCACTACTGAACATTTCGATAGCATTTGCAATTTCAGCTCAATTGTATGATTACGCTTCGTTAATAATGGATCAACAAAAGACGATTTAATGATAAAGCATTGAAAACTTTTTCTTCTTCTGCTTCTTCTTCTTCTAATATGCCATCAGTCACCAGCAGCGTGCACGTGTGGTTATCAAGACACCTTTACTCCGATAACTTACGTCGCTTATTGTCGAGCAAAGTACGTGCAATGATTCTATGCCAAAATAGCCGTTTTTGAGCATTGCTGGACGAATTTTATCAGCGTGATACTAATTCCACAATTCGTACACATATATCTAGAAACATATTTTCACATTTGTATGTCGCGTCTTGCCTCACCAATCAATGTCCCAGTTTCAATGTCGCGTATTACTCTGGCGATGTCATCAGCGCGATTACAGAGTTACGCTATATCGTTGATCATATACCGATTACCGAACTATCTACACGCACAAGCATCATCGAAATGTACTTGTCCGATGACATTATGCTTAAGAGCTCTGCTGTAATGCATAGAGAGTACATGTCAATCATCCATCTCATATCGATTATATAACATACTATGCCAAATGTGTCAACCACTCATCGTAATAACTGTTGATCATGACGAGATGCACACGCTGGCATCTTCTCTCAAGATATCTCTCATGGTACTTTACACGAAGAAAGCATAAAACGCGTTGTGAAATAATCCTTCAAAAATATATACATCCGGTACTCCTCGTTAAGTACGCTACACAAAATCGTTTGCATAATCAAATCGACCCTATACATTTTTCACGCGAAATGTTGCAAAACTTACTTTCGGACAAATATATATTACTTAACAAATATGTGATAACGAAAAATGGTACGAGAAATTATCTGAACAATTTCAATTTTACAATATTCTTTACACTAATTGTTGAAATTTATTGAAATCAATTAATTATTGTAATTATCAAAAATTTTCATATGTACGTTTTGACATCATATGATATCTCCTATATCTTTGATGTGCATAAATTCTAACTTTTGGACACAAATTGTTTGTAAAATTCCAAAATTTATCGCAATAAGGATGGACTTTTCTCTCGGTATCTGCACGCGCTTTTTCAATTGTCGGAAAAATTCATCACGAATGCTTAATTAAGAGTTTGAGCGTATTTTAACGATTGTTTAGTCAAACGATCTTTCTAACATCGGTCCTAGTCGAATCGAAATAATCTTCCTTGTCCATCGCAATACACGCAGGACAAACTCCATTCGCGAAATCAGCTCAACAACACTAGTAGACGCGCGAGATAATCGCGTGGGACGAGGAGACCATGACAGAAAGTGCACTTGAAACAGAGTGAAGAGAGCCCTGGGGCCTTAAATCCCTGCACCGACTTCTCCCGGGCCCCATAATCGAATCTTTATGTCGAATAACGATCGGCGATCGACGCAGAACTGAATATTTCTTGTGATCGATAAAAACTGAGATTTAAGAGAGGTACATTTGACTTCTATCCTAGAGTTTAATAGGGGAAGTGATAATGACGATTAATCGTAATTGAAGAAAGTTAATGATCGTCTAGAAAGAAAAATGACCAGCTAATCTTAATAGCTAATTTTAACAGCTAATTCTGCTAGTAATCGAAATGAAAGAGCTTTAATGAAATTTCGTAGCTGATCATAGAGATTTCAATTCGATCGTCGATCATGACAGTGATTGTAGCCATCATAATTTTGCGATTGCTTAGGAGCGATCTGCAATTAATACGGCTCCCGATCTCGAATTTGATCGTAGAAATTGAAATCCATCATCAATTGCGACGGCGAACGTAGCTGGATAATGACGACTTAATGATTAACATAGTGATACTTACCATCAATCACGTAATTAAATTAGACAAATTAACATAGAATTTTCTTGAGAAAGTTTTTGATTTATGAAGAAACGAACCCACGAACACATTTACAAATATGGCTCGAAAGCAGGAAATATCGATGTCGATATTAAATCCTTTGAAAGTTTTCAATTCTGATCGGGCGTGTCCCGCTATAATATGTTTATACGTTTTATTAGGACTATAACAAAGGCATACACACTGATACACACTTCACATAAAAGAAAACGCTCTGTGTACATAGTATACATATACATATAAATTGTACACGCAAATGATATGATGAATTCCATCTATTTCGCTCGATGAATTCTAATCGAGATACGAGAAAATTAAAGAATATAATTGTTCAGCGGAGATGTGAATAAAATCTACAATATTTCACTTCTCTATAAATAAAATTATAGACTAAATTATGGATATAATTTTAGTTCTCGCCCTACCGTTATACATAGCGATATTTTTCAACGTATAAAGATTGTACGACTCTCATTATAGACTTTCGATATAGATTATTTATTGCTCCTCTCTCTTTCTCTCTCTCTCTTTTCAATATATATATATTAGAACATTTAATTCGCTTTTTAAACATTAAATAGAAATAATTTCAGAAATTCACATTATTTGTGGCATAAATAATCCTGTATATTTTTATTCACATTTCTCGCCTATGATGTTATGTAAATACTGTAAGAAGCCTTTAACGAGTATCCTTCAAGTACTCACTTATACAGCGTCGACATGCTGTGAATAATGCATGAATCAGTACTCTTGTTAGCTAAAAGATACTTGTGTAATTAGAGCTTTGAGAGAAAGAGAGAAAGAGAGATTTATTTTTATGCTAAAATTATAAAAATAAAAGAGGTATATTTATATCATATTACGGGAATTTCTTAGTACGTGACACGCTTACATCGCGAATATTTGTCGAATTTATAATCCTTGGAACGATTCGACTGTGGTAAAAAAAAGTAGGAAAAAATTGATTGCGTTAAATTATTTTATTTTTTTGCAATTACATATGCAAAACATGTCCCGCCTAGGACAATATATCCACATTACAAAGTAAATAAACATGTAACACTTAACAAAATATAAAACTTACGAAGATCTTAAGACGTTCTCGCAGCCAGACTTGGAATAGATCACGATTATCGGTATAAATCATCATTTAGAATATAATTAATTGGAAGCTTCTTCTATATACAGGAAATGAAAGCGCTGCGGCGCTTTTAATTAGCGATGTCCTAAAGTACATGTATGTCGCTGTATAAACTAGTATAAACTAGGCGCGGGTAAAAAATGAGCGCAATCCTCTTCTCCGCTCTGTTTTTTGTCGAGTAACAATCGGCTGTTCTTTTTCAAGGAAAAACTTTTCGAAGCATTGGTCATCTGGTGTTAAAGGAATTATTTATATATACTTGTTTTATTCTAGTAATCGCAATCTAATCAAAGCATAAGTACATTTTGCACTTTTGCGATTGAATCTCGATGCATTTACGAAGATTGTGAAATGTCAGATCGTGATTTGAGCTCATATAGATCAATCTGTTTGTTTGATTGTTCGTTAATAGATAGACATGTCGATAAAGAATGCAGCTGATTTTTATGGTTAAGTAATAATATGTAATACACATCTCCTTCATTGGTATCCATTTCTCGCTGAATTTTTTTAAATAATTGCATAGATTTAATTTATTAGAAAAGGACATAATTATATAAATTAATAAAGGACATAATTAATAAAGAATTTTAATTTTTCTTTAATTGTAAATCTATTAAAAGCTTAGATTACAGCATTAAATCTCGCGTAACTTAATCAGAATATTAATCAGAATATTAATTTGAAAGCTATCAGTGTAAAAAATTTATTTTTTTAAAGCATTATATTTTATAAAATCGTGTTGCAGTCGATGATTGGTACTAATTAAGGATTTGTCTGTTGGAAAATGCGTATCGTGAAATATGAATGAGTTGTGCATGCTACGATCATGTATGCTACGTTTATTATCTTTTTCAATAATCTCTTAGATAGATACATATTTATATTACGGATATCCGCCTCTCTTTGAAGCATCTTGAAGCTTCGTATGAGATTTCGTGCCGACGCGAATTATCGCGCCAATATTGCTTATCAATGTTGAGAACATAAATTTTATCTGTTAGGGAAAAGATTTTTGTAAAAGAGATATAGATATAAATATCTCTAATGTTGTGCGTTTGAATAAGTCGGAAGCAGCGGAAGTCTCGTTCTTTAACTTTAACAAATTGATTGAATGAAAGTCATCGCTGAGAGTCATCTCAGCGTGAAATTTTCATGATACATTTGGAGATAATTGATCGAGGTCCTTGCGTAGCCCTAATTTGTACATATTAGGTAAATATAGGTTTTGTCATGATCGCTGTGAATCCACATAAGAGATATTCACGCTATTTTTGCTTCCGTACGACAAGTTCGTTTCCCGCGTATCTATTCGCATCGAATGAGATCAGTCCGAGGAAATGTAAATACGATATTCTCGATATAAAGAAATCCGTTTCATTAATCTTCAAATCTATATCTATAAGCGAATAATGATTTAACGAAACTTTGAAACATCTGTATTTTTGTTTGATTTATATTTTATATACTTATTCCGCATATTTTTATTTTCTTTCTTTTTCATAGTTACAAAGATATGCAAGTTGTTATGTAGGGAATAAATTTAAAATACATTTAATAAACGCGCGCGCATATTAAATATATATTCAATCCTTTTTGAAAACTTAATTGTAACGCTAATTTACATTAAAAATTGACGAAGCGTTTTTCCGCAAATCGAGAATATCGTTCTGTTGATTAATTGAGGAGTCTTGTTTGTGGATCGCAGATCCGAGCAAAGCCGTGCGTTATGGTTATAGTTGTGCAAATAGTTTGTGCAAATGTATATCTTATAAATAATTTATAATCGTCGAGATATGGAAATTTTTATAATATTTTATAACTCCTCGGGGTAAGCAGCGATGGAAATTCACACATCCATGAGTATTGACTCATTCACGTACACCCATTCAATATACATGTATACATCTACACGTACAGAAACGTTCCTTTAGAGGAAGTGGATTTCACCTGCGGTAAAAATATCTTATACAGAATTTGAGTGGCTTTGATCCATCCCTTATTTTCCGTATCGTTGGTAATGTTTGATCTACGTAGCGCTCAAATAGCGCCGAAAATTTAATATGTAGCTTGATGAAAGCGATCCTAAAAAATACCCACACCCTTCGATCACAAGTGCTTAAATCGACGCTCATAGTTTCTGCGTGTAGTTACACGATTGACTCAGAACCTCGTTGAAATGAAAAATCGCGTTGTCGAATTTTGATACAAATACAATCCTTTAAAAACACGTCAGAAGTATGAATTATAAAAAATACATTTCCTCCGAATTACATTTAGAATAAATCTTGAATATCTTTCATTTTACGATAAAATTTATTTTGAATCAATTTAAGAGCTGTTTATTTTAAAACAGTGTAAACCTAGAATACGTTTAGCTTTCACAATTTTTTCTCAAAATTCGACTACTCGATTTTGTACAGAACACGTTTAGAGAGCCCCGTCGTCTAGGCGTTATACTAGATAAGAAGCTTTGACTAATCATGGATGATCATAGGCAAGGCGAAACACTGAAAGTCGAATTGGGAACATACGAATTTTCTGAAGACTAAAATGATTCTACGAATATCGACGTATAAAAGGAGAAATAAAGGCAGGAATATGAGGATAAACCTTCGATGTTATACGAATTGTGCGCGTATAAAGTGCAAACTAAACTGATAATTGTATGGGATTTGGTTCGTTGGCTCGCACTGTGTGCACGTAATGATAATTGCTCGCTTAGTTAGTTGATTCCGGCATCGCATCGTCGACGAGGGCTTTTAATCGCTCTCGCGCGAACGATGCGACATGCTTGCGATATTTCGAATTTAGATATTTATTTGTTGGAACGAGAAGAGAGTCTAAGAAGATTGAACGATGCTGTTTGATTATATCGATAATTATAACGACGATTACTTGTATAATTAAGTATTTTGTCGCACCGTGTGCACGTGAAAGATTTGTAAGATGATAGAGTTAAGAGACCACGTCTAGCTTCGAATACGATCGGATCAAAAATCTCGAAGCTACCCGCGGGTCTAATTTGACATTATACAATGCGCGGAGAAGTGTAAAATTTTAACAAACTTGCCATGGCAAAATCGTCGACGACGATAACTTGAATTGTCGAAACGATGACTCGTGGGAACGATCGAGCGATCTCTTCGTGATGACAAATTATTTTTATTGATAGATTACGCTTGAAGCAGCTCTTAATTGCATATTTATTTAATTAATCTTGTAGTGCGTGTTTATAAAATAATTCTGATCTCGAGTATACCACAAATGATGGTCATAAAATAAGGTTTCATTATACAGATTGCAGGTCTTTATAAGTACCTATTAAGATAGAATAACTTGGCTAGTATAGTGAATTTTTATTAGTCGCTTTGCAGGACTTGCAATGCTAATAATGCGCCGAGTCGTCGACGACGATTTCCCTCTTTCGTCCCATCGACGTGTTCACTGAATGCAACCCCATATGGTTGGAAGGTCCAAACGAGGATTAAGCACAGGCCTTATACGTGCCCTCGCGATGACGCAAGGGAGACATTTGGCCAATGCAAATCCCCTCGGTATGCTTAAAATATCTGCGAAATGCCTGTCCTCGAGGCTTATGGCTTTCGCAATAATATTGTTGGCGATGTTATGCGGTTTCGAAAGTATATCTGTATAGCGAAAAGAAAGGAAATGCGGTGTAAGATTGCTACGGCGTCATGTATCGGCCCGAATCGATGCGTTTTTATTCTTAAATAGATATGCATTATGTAAAACAAAATATCTAATTACAATAATAAATTTTATTAAGCCAGTTGTAATTAAAAATAGTCTAACAATATGTATTTACACATCATTATATAATTTCTATAAGTAGTTAAAAACACAATATAATTTTCTTATAAACCTATATTATTAATTAGTAATTGTCTAAAAAAACAAGACATTTTTAGACAAATATTTAGTGCAAAACTATAACTTTTTTTATGCCATTCTGGCGGAAGTTCAAACTTTTCATGCGGGTATAGCGAGAATCGTCAATTCGGGCCGATTAACGCTTGTACGAGGATTATATGCAATTCTGTCGCGTGTGTAGGAATTGTGTCAAAGAAATGATAGACTTTTCGTGCACGCGCGAGCGTCCTCGATAAAATTCCCTTTCGTGGCTGGTTCGTCGGATCAAAGATTTTCTCTGTATATTATCTATATTACTGTGTCACACACCAAGCGCGCGATCTGTGTCGCAGAAAATATTTCAGCACGTGGCAATATATTCCACGTGATCCACTCACGATCCATTCGTTTTCCTTGAGAAGAGAGCTTTATTTCACTATTGTTGCACTGATAATGAAGGAAGCGAGAGAGAAAGTGAGAAAGAGAACATGAGAGAGAAAGAAAGATAGAATATTTGTAAGCTATTGCGTTGAATTGTGTCAATCACATTTGCTACTATTCGATTATCTAATTGTAACGATTGTAAGGTGGATACAAGGCAAATCGAGAAAAGAGAGAGAGAAAATATGCGTGCGTGCGTGAGCGAGCGAACGAGCAAATGAGAGAACACAGCTTGCATATGATGCGCGCAGTTGTTTGAAGACGGAATTGAGACGTCTAATTAATGAGAATATTGTAAATTGTTCTATAGCAAATGAAAAGCGCTACGGCCGTTGCAGCGCGCTCCTCGAGAGTCCTTGAGCAAGCGCGGCTCTGGAGGAAGCTCTCTGATTATATAACTGAAACATCCTCTGAACGAGCGAAAGTCTCGAGATGACTTTCGAGGGACGAGATGCTCTGATCGTTTCGATGTTGATATGTCAAT